TATTTTGGCAACGATTGTAGATGTCTCCTCTTGCAGCTGTTACAGAGCTCTTTTTCAGGTCATTGGGAAGTGGCCTGAGAATGAACCTCTCCATGGCTGTAAGAGGAGACTAGGATAAAGCTGCAAATCCAGAAAGTCAAAAGAGGAGTTACGGACTATTTATTTCAGTTTAATGATGGCATAGATTGTTTTCAGAATGAGTAACCAAGATATAATTTCTTATGTTATTCACATATCATATAATTATTTCAGTGGTGAGCGCAGTAAGCTTTGTAATACAGCCCTCTTGCATGKGATTTCAAAACAACTTTTCAAGGAATGCAACTTCCCCTGAATTTACAATACTTACAGAGAAGAATGGAATGGCTTGCCTTGCACAAGAGATGTATCTGTTTAGACAGTCTGCATCAGTAACCTAGAAAGAGAGCAAGCACCATTATCTACCAAAGAGGTTAACAATCAACTACATGAAGAGTATAACCGTCCTCCACAAAAAAAGCGTCAAAACTATATTTCTTGCATAATGTTTTTTTCAGTAGTAAAATAAACGATAAAGACAACAAGTGATTTTTATGACGTTTCGAGGTCATACTGTCCTCATTGCCAAGTACTTTTAATGGACAATAATTGTGGGCTAAAATTTAGATACAGAAATGTTTTTTTGATTATTATTTTTGCAGACTCAGAATAAGGACAAGYTATTCTAAACATCATGGCCAATCACTGACTTTTATAGCCAGGAATGCCATTTTATTAGCCGAGAGGTTTTCTTCATTGTCTGCACTGTCTATCAAATGTTGTAATTTCTTTCTGTTAGTTCATTTGAGCATTCATTCATCAATCCCCCTCATTTCGTTTGTTTTCTCCAGAAACCGATCCAAATCATGTAAGTTTCAGAGGTCTACAATGTAATTTGCTCAACAATTCATCTGTCCATTCTATTCTTGTTCATTTCTCCATTCATTCATTTTCTCAAACCTTCATTTGTCCATCTATTTKTTCATCCATTCATTCTRTTGCCCATCCATCCATTTGTTYATTAAATWGTTTATTTGTTGATTAATTCRCATATTCTTCAAACCCTGTTGGTCCCTGATTCAAATGTACCTCAAATGGCTGACTCAATTCAGCTTGTTCAGTGACTATGTTGGCAAGTTCTTGATGAGCTCCTTTCATGACTTTSAGATTGGATAAAATTGACATGAAYGCTTTGAATTCTTCACCATTGACRTCAGACAGGGCCTGGCAAMCAAGAAATTATAGTTTAGTTAGTGAAAMCTAAAAAGATTTCCTTCCATTTACATTACAATGTAAACTCTACTATAATAATTATTTTATCAAAACTTATTTCATATTATACCTTTTTTATCTCTTCTACAAGATATTCTTCTGTGTCAGTCTTCGGATGTAGAAATTGTTTGCCATGCTCGGCTACTGTTGTGCTAAGGAATTTTATGGCTTTTTCTCGTACGTGTTCTTCGCCGCTGAGTATCTGTGAGAATATACCTCCTATAGTTCCTGGAAAAAAGTACAAATTCATTGTCAATAACTACATGTATTATATAGTACAATATTTTTTTCTTTACAAAAATGTAACTATTAGACTTTCCATGAGTTTAAAGAATAATAACCACCCGCCGTACCTTGCGAACCGAAGCGCCATTTTAGGTGGACACGAAAATGGCGGATTTGTAGGATTTCTTAAAGTGAGCACAAATCGTCTTCCGTCCTTTCACTTTGGACAGAAATACCTTTAAGTAAGTACCTCACAGGTACTATCAATCTATAATTTATTGTATGCTTGACGCATTTAAACGTAGGTAAACAATAATACGAGCGTGCAAGGTACGACAGGTGGTTATGATTCTTTAATGTCTTTACAAGCCTCACCTTTTGTATCCATCTTAAAGAGACTAATCAAAGCGGTCTTTACAATCCCTAATTCTGAGGGGTCGTCTGATTGTAGTAGTTGAGTTAGGACGTCTGCTATTCTTGGWAGGTGTTCCTGATCATCTCTACAAAGTTCTGGAAGACTCTTTATGGCTTGCTTGCGTATCTACAATTAAGGACACAGGATTTATTATCACATGATTGCTTTCTTCAATGACTTCTTGCTTGAGCTTCTTGCTTGCATTGCTTCAGCTTGAGCAATGTTATCACATTTATAAGACACTTGTGATTTTTTTTGTTTGCTACATACCTTCAATGCATTTTCTCAAGCATTGATAAAAACATGGAGGTTCTTCAGAAAAATAAACTGGCATTGCAAGAGATTATAAGAGCAACATTTGTTTGCATCGTATGCAGCAAATTATTCTCATCTACTATGCTGTATATTGAATTCATTAAGGATGGTTCAATTCTCTCTTAAATGTCTAGCCATCGTAAAAGGTATAACTACAGTATACCCCTGCATTTAATGACAACAAGTCAGCTTAGTATTGATTTTATACAAAGGCTAAAGCCTGGTTTACATATTGTTACAATCGCTAGGATCGCCACAATCGCCGAAACTATGTGGCTCAACGATCGTAGTGATCATATGGAAACACTCTCCAGCGATCCTGGCAATCCTAGTGACCTCGATTCCAGAGTTCGAGATCGCTAAGATCACCACATTTTCAGCGATCATGGTGATCCTAGCGATTATAAACCAGGCTTAAGATACCATTCAATATAGTCTCCTTCAAGGTTCCCAGTGTCATCTTGAAAGGTGTCAGTGCCTTAAAATCAAATTTAGATGACCGTCCGGCGTTGAGCTTGCAATAATAGATACCCCCAAATGATTATCTGTAGGTATGAAGGCACAGCTACCTTTCAAGATGGTGCAGGAGACCATAAAGAAGACAATAGATTGGTGCTGGGAGCCATGAAGAAGACTGATGAGAACTCAAACAGTCTA